CCTTCGTCATTTTTCTCCTCTGTCAAATCGACCACTTGAGTTTCCTTTAGTTGTTGTTCCTCTTCTTCGGCAATGGCTTCATCGTTTGCCAATTCCTCCTCTTGTTGCCTACTGTGTTCAGCAGAGTCTTGTGTCTCTGAAGTCTTTGGTGATGAACTTTCGGTGGTCTCCTGAGAATAGAAGAGGAAGAATCTTCTGGTTTAGAAAGATACACAATCGAACGTGAGCATCGACACCTAAGTTAAAAATGGTCAGAGAAACTACCTGTAGAGGAATTTCAGCCCCAGGGCTGGAATTATCACTTTCGACGGGTTTGTTGAGCAAAACGTTCAGCTCCTCCTCCGTGGGCTCTTCGATGATCACGGGAGGTGGCCTGGGTCTTCTCCCTGCAACCTTTATTCTGATCATGGGTCGAGGCTCAGGAGCAGGGGTATCTTTCTTCAGTTTTCTCCGTTTAAGAGGAGCGGGGGGAGATTCGTCCTCGTCGTCACTCCCAGATTCGACCGTTAGTGCAGGTCGTTTCTTGGGTGCAGGTTCCTGAAAACCAAATGGAGTTCGATTTAGAGCGCCACATCGAAAATCAGGATGTTAAAACCAGAAGGAAATAATAAAAGTCTGGTTACCGGTGCTGAAGGTTTTATCGAGGGACCTCCTCCCTGATGGCTTTCTGTGGTTTTTACCGGTACTGAAGGTTTTGTCGAGGGACCTCCTCCCTCATGGCTTTCTGTGGTTTTCTTTGCTGCAGGCTTTCGAACAACTGAAAGAAGACGCGTTCACAAGTTATAATTAACAAGTTACAAGTCAAAATGGAAAGACAAATATAATTTGGAGAGTGAACGTACATTTCTTTATTTTGTCAAGGACCAGAACGAAGGACTTCTGGAGTTCGTCCACAAAATCTTTTTCGTCGAAGAACTCTTCGGCATAATAACTCTTCCACCAGTCTTCGAAAGATGGTGAACAGAGGAAGTTAAGTTGATAATCGAACAGTGAAAGTACTGTTCGACCAGCGTACCTGCCAATGTGTTTGGTGGCAGCATCCTCAGTATAATCATTGCAAAAATACAACATTGATTTCTCCCTAGGAAAAATGGGAGAAGGAAGTGATTGGATGATACCAAACTGTCGAGAGACCAAGTTTGGCTGATAAGCGATCAAGCTCAGGTGATTCTTGGAACTCTTAAAGCGCAGTGGCATTATTCTGGGAGTGAGAAATGCTTCCCACATTGTTGTGTGTTCTTCGAGATGAGGGTCACCTGATGATTTGGGATGGGGCCTGGTGAACCATTCTGGACCAAACTTTCGACAGGCGAAAGGAGCCATGGTCGAGGTGAATTCTTTTCTTCCTGCAAACATCAAGACGAAGTTTGCAAAGGTCTGTTGGAGTTCCAGCCCATCCTCAGTGGGAGTCAGTAGTGCCAGTCTGGTGCCTTCGATACGGCTTTTGGCTATCTCAGGAGCTTGTTCGTTTATCTGAGTTTTCTGAGGTAAGAAAGACTCAAAAGTGGCATTTAGCCATAGTTGTAGTAGCCAGAAGGGTCCTACAAGCAACAAACTGGCTCTATTTTCGATGACCTTTAACAGAGTCGCTCCACTGCTTATCGACTCATACAGGTTCGCGAGGATTAATTCGGCCAAACAGATGTTTTGACCGTGGTGAAGCTGGGTAGCAAGGGTGACCATTTTCTTCGTCACCTGTAGAGACTTCGTGCAGAACACGAAGCGTGACAGCCAAAGGGCTAGAAACGCTATGTGTTCCACGTCCGTCACATTGGCTGTCGACCTGTCATGATAGTGGTTGATATAAGTGGTATAAGTGGGTTTGGTAGCTGAAAACCCAATCTGGTCTTCAGAAATTTCCTCTGGGTCGAAGTAATCCCCAGTTGGTCGAAGACCGGTGATGGAAGCCACGTCGAAGAGAGTGGGTGTTATCATCCCACAAGGCAGGTGGAAAGTGAAGTGAGTATAATCCCAGAAAAGCAAAGAGGCTACCAGCATTTCAGGGGAGTAGTTGAGACCAGTCTTCGACAGCATGACTAGGTCATAAATCCCCAGGTTCTTCCAAATCGAAGCCTGGCTTTTTTCCATCTTCTCTAGCCAAGCGTTGTAGTCTGGTGTAAGGCTAGGGCTAGACCTAAAAGCCCTAACACCTCTGTTGAAGAAACGAAGATCTATCTTTTCTTTAGCAGGATCTTCGTTGTCATCTGCAGCCTTTTTGGAGCACCCAACAGGTTTGAGTGCCTCAAGCACCGGGAATAAGTTCTTGATCTTCGTGGAGTCATCAATGCATGTGGATAAAGGGCCAGACATGGCGAAAACCTGGTTGGAGTATCCAACCGGAATCAGCAGTTGAGAAGAATAAACTTCACGCTCAGCAGTTCCCAGAGGTTCAGGAACCCTTCGCATGCCTTTAGAGTTAACTGTTGGAACAGTTGAGAAGATTTTTGGTTGGGCAGTTTTAGAAGGAATGTTAGGACTGGGAGCATTAGAAGAACCTGAAGCCATTTTTGGGTTAAGATGAAGGTGAATGAAGAACAAAGTGTTTGCAGAGGTTTTTGTGTTCAATAATAAGGCTTGGATGCAGAATGGCGTGAAAAATTCCCACAAGGGGCATCTAGCGCTATTTATAGTGATTGGAAAATCACGAAAATTGAGGTCATTTAATGTTGCAGATGATAGTGGGGCACGTGGCGCTCATTCGCTGACATAGCCGTTCTGCAGAACGGAAACGGTGCAGCGTGCACCCTCGTTTTTGGGAAATTGTCATGATGACAATCTGTGAAAAGACATTGGGCACGCTAAACACCTTACTGAAGTGACGTCTTAGGTACAGGTGGAATGATGGCTTTTTCTTGGGATTGTCAGTTGGTTGGTAGAAGACGAAAAGCGCACAAGTTAATCTGTGGCTAAGAATGAAAGACAGGTGTCGGGTGGAATCTCAAAGAATGCCTTTTTCTTTTCAGCGTCAAAATAAGGCATTCTTGGGGGGCAATTTGTTGGCTCCTAAATTCGACACCCTTGTTTTTATTAATATAGACCATTAATCATGAGGAATGGTTTCGACCAGCTGATTCTGTCGAAATGCTCGTCAGAAGGTGGCAAGGTATTTAGAGGATTTCTTTAAGTAGGAATCTTGTTGCCTTCGACGTCGAAGGAGCTTCTCGACAAAAGTATTTGATGCTCAGAGTGGAACGGTTTGAGATTCGAATGTTTGGAGGGAAAACGGTTCCCAGCAGTTACCAAGTGCAACGTGCCAAGATCAAGAGCGTCGAATGCTGTGAGCATGCCAAGTGGTGTCATCTCGAAGCAGCGTAACTGCCCAATGGTTACTTGAGATGTGTTTAGTATAAATACTAGTTGTTCACGTAGTTTTCGCGTGTGTTCATCAATATATACAAGTCACTCATTTAGATTCAAGTACCCAGTGTGAGCGAAAGAATTGTTGAGAATGTATGTATGAAACACCATTTAAATTAATCAAAGTCTTTTATATTCCAGAACTTTATTGCCTTTCATTTACTCTTCCCAGTCGAAGCCTTTATTTACTACCTTTCATTTATTCTCTCAAGTTTTTCTTCATGCAATTTACATAAAGTGTCTTTACTTTCCTGTCATTAACCATCATTAGACTTAGTCAAACCCCAAAAAATCAACCATGTCTTAGGATCAAGCTGATCGATCCTGCGAGTCACCAAATAAGTAACCTTTTGGAGGATCAACGGTTGTTTACCAATTTCCACGGTAAACAGCAGCCAACCCCAAATTAGGGTTTTGTGTTGCATCAAGATCCTTGAGTCCAAATGACCTCAAGTGCTCCCCAATGTCCTAATATGTTCTCAAGGTCATCCATGTCAAGTTTCAATCCTTGCAGAGGAAGTTTGCTCAATCAATTGCTCAAAGAGTCCAAAAATCGACTGTGCTAGGGCAAAAGTCAACTGTGACCCAAATACAGTCAAGCTTCAAGATTTTTTGTCAACATTCTCATTTTGAAGGATATTTCATCATTTGATCAAGGGTTGATCATGATTCATCAAGGATTGCTCAAAATTCATCAAGATTCAAAAGTTGCTAAATTAGGGTTTTGTAGGAAAAGTCAACTCATCTTTGACCAAGCATAACTTTCTCATACTTTATGAGAAATGACCCATCCAAAGCTTATTTTGAAGAGGATGCAATTTCCTACAATCCATATTCATACCCCAAGATCAAGAAATGCACTCACAAGAAGTTACAAATTTGGACATTATAGGTCATTTTTGAAAGTCAACAGTGATCCAATTTTGGACATGGAAATGATGTTTTTTTGTTGTATGAGATGTTGATGGTTTTGGATTGATGGTGAATTTGTGGTTGTTAATGGAAGTTAGAAGTTACAGGTTGATGGTTTTTATGGCATGTTGCAATGAATTTTTCCCTTTCTTTTTTTTGTCATCTGGATTCCACATATCCACTTCAACAAGTCAACTGTAGCGCTACGTGGTGCATGTTTTTAGATCTTGACTAATGATTCACTGACGGAATGATTAACATAGTTATGTTTTAAAAATTAAATGATTAAATTGGTACGAAAAAAAAATAAAAAATCAAAATGAACTATAACTTATAGTTAAAATATAAGAGTGTCATAATTAATTCTCTAAAATGGATATACGCAAGAAGTACACAAGGCTCTATAAAACACGACACGGCCCAATCTCCCTATGCGTACCTACTTGGTTTATGTAGAAACTTGGAGAAAACAAAGGCATTGATTAGCATAAAACACATTGAAAAGTGAATTTTTTTTTAACTGATGATCATAAAAAAACAAAAACTAAATAGAACTCGAAGCGAACACTGTTTTCTGAACCATAGAGAAACAAGAAACATACATTGTCGTCATAGGTTTTTAAAGAAAGACATGTCATTGTTGTCGGGGAAGAAGAGAAACCGAGAGATAAAGCTGTTAATGTCAAGCCCTTCACTCTTAAACTAAAAAATTGTTCAACTTGTTACTTGTGATGATACAAAAAATCGACTTTGGTTCGATAGCTAAGGCTTTTGGGTTAGACCCGTCAGCGTTGAAGTTGAATGGTTACTTTATAAGTAGAGGGATTGATCTTATCTCTTCCTCTAAGACTGCTGATCTTGTCGCAAGCAAAGTGGTGAACAATAGTATGTTTTGTTATGTTTTTCTTTTGGTTTTTGGTTTTGTTGAATAGTTTGTAGCAATTGGTGGATGATTATTACTCATGGAAATAACAAACTTTTGTCTGCCAAAATCTCAATATTGACAAATTTGATGGGCTCTTTACAGATATTCGAGATAAAGTCGATGAACTTCCTGGGAGCATTTCTCGAAGCCAGTTCGCATGCAGTTATACAAATAAGAATCTCAAGCGGATAAGAGACGATGAGATTTTAGTAGCTAATTATAAAATACATTTCTAACTCAAGAAAAATACAAGTAGAGTTTTTTACATTGTATGATGTTCTGTAAAATTGTTTCAGAAATTATAGACTTTGAAGGAAGGTTGTTCAATTTACCCATTGTTAAATTTACAATGAACACTAACAAATTTTCTGGGTTGTTTAAATAGTAACATGTATGGTATATGAGAAACTAAGTCAATAGTTACAAATTATATTTTTGTTAATAATATAAATGCAATCATGTGTGGTCAATTAAAAAACAGAACCAAAGGAAGTAAAGCTATATTGTTGTACAGAAATAGTACTCATTGAATATAATACACCTAACACTACAAAGTTGGATGGTATCATTTCAAGTAGAATTGCCATACAACAGCAAATCCTGCAACCAATATTATCTTAAGAATCAGTTTAGGAGTAATGAAGGATGATGATGGTTGTTTTGGTTGAGTGGATTCTGATGATCCTCCCTGAAACCTTGAAGACAATTTATTTAGAACTCGACGAAGGAACGGAACTTTGTTTGCTACAAGCATAAAAATACCAGATATTAGAAACTGAGCAAGAAATAAAAAGACGTGGAAACTAAATATGCATTATAAAACTGAGAAGAGTCGAGATGTCTACCAAACACTATCATAGGGTTACTTGTTGTTCACAATAGAATTACTTGTGTCCCAAGATACATAGACTACAAGAGTCGAGAGTTACCTTTCAAAAGTCTTTCCTCCTCTGCAACTCGTCTTCGCAGTACATTTAGCAAGGATCCAAAATATAATGCGAAAACTGTGCAAGTAATTGTAATGACGTTGTAAGGCATACTGAAATCAGGAGTTGTCAAGGGTACGAGTAAAACTTCCGTGTATGAGAGAACAGGGCTCTTTTTCTGCATTAAAGATCAAGACTGTTAGGTGTCATGGTAATCTTATATTTACTGCAGTGATGAGCAAAAGAAGAATGAGAATCAAATAACCTGTAATTTAGACATCATTGGCGACTTGCTTATAGAGTCATCGAAAAATTGTAAACCAGCATGGAAGTCGGGAAAGCTTATTATTGCTGATGGAATATCAAATCCCTGATTAGCATCAGGAGGGTATTCATCAATGTGCAAGAAGCCCTATGTGCAGACCAAAAAAGACATGTTAGAACAACAATCATGATGTATCCCACTATATGGAGTCAGCTACATAGATCAAACCTCGTAATATTCTATCATAAATCACTTTTTCATCCATCCATCATAAAATGGTAGTACATAATTAGTTAGCATATCACATACATAGTTATGAATAGCTTCTAATGCCATATTGATAGAAAAGCAAATGAGTATCACATTCAGGCTGTGATGAAATATACCTACATTCATGTCTAGTTCGGGCAAGTAAACAGGTAGCCAGCTCAATAAAATCCAGTTCCTTTAACTCATGGAATAACGGCAACATAAAAAAGGCAAAGGGTTAAACCAGCAATTGGTTTACCAGCTCCAACACAACTGTGTCAGAACATGGCCTGTCTTTAAACCAAGTTGGTCTCACTCAAACTCACTCTCACAAGTGATCGGGAAGTTGGTAACAAGGCAAGAAGCACTTCATCGATAAAACCCCATATCAATTCTAACTCATCAACCTCAAGTAACACCTAAGCATGATTATCTTACTAAGATTTCTAAGGTTGTTTAATAACTTACAGAGTTTGTCAATAAAAAAGTGAGGTAAATATCCAGAAGAAAAAGAAATAGAAATATAAAAGTGAAAATAAGAATTTGAGCACACCTTATCAAACTCCACATTTAATATAGCAGATTTTATCTCACACGGAAATCTGAGGACCAATTCCATCATCCCTGTTGATACTTTGTCTTCAGAAGGTGAAACACTCATTCTTTCAACAAAATCTGTGATTGCTTGAGGCTTTCCATCAACAAATAATTGTAAGGTATGATAATATACCTTAAAATACCAAGGCACAATTTGAAGAACATAAACTTGTAACTTACACTTCTCTTCAACATTATTGGCTACATTGAAACCCTTAGTCAATTCTGTAGACTTGAAGGATATTGCAATCGAGCCCCTTTCATTTCCACTTCCAATTAAAAATCTACTGGCATATAAAGGTGCAAGTGGGCAGGACCAAACAACTGGATATTTCCATGTTAGGCCTAAATCAAATTGTTCGGTATCGTTGTACTCTTTGATTGAATATTCATACAGAATTGATGAGCTCTTTTCCAGTTCTCTATGAACCCTATCCGGTGCAATAGATATTTCAAAGCCGAGATTCCTTCTCAAAACATCTGTACCCGTGCCATTATCAGCATATGCATCAGTATTCTTTTGGAGCTTCTCAAGTTGAGCCACTAGATCTCTCTCAAGATGAAGGTAGACATTACTCGACTTAGCAAGAACACACCTTCCATTCACTTTTCGTCCAAATATTGAGCTCAAAAACCAACTCGGTTGAATCTTAAATTCATCTCGAAAGCTCAAACTAGTTTTCTGAATATTAGGCTGTAGTACAACCGTAAGTGTTTGTTCTAGAATAATTCCTGAATCTAACTCATCAGCAGGGGCTGTGGATGCTGTCAAATGCAATCGCTGTGAATGATAAAAACTCCTGTAAATAGATGGTCTATCCAATAAGGCCGAAAGTCCAGCTTTATCTCGACAAGGAAGGAGTTTCAACCAGGGAGTAAGATTCTCCGTGCAGACAGCTTCCCGCGGCAATGTGCCATATCTTAAACTACCTAAGGCTGACTGAGATGCCCATTTAGGAGCAGAATAAGTGCTAGAAGACTCTAGGAAGTTTATCGAAGCACAGAAGAGACCCGATAGAGAATGCGTCAAATTTTTCCAAGAAACATCAACCTGATGTTGAGGGACATCAAAAACTGCCCACAATTCAACTCCGGGAGGCTTTGCATTTTGGCTAGATATTGGATCAAGTCCACCCCATCTTTCATAGTTCCATCGACCTTGTGTGAAAGATAACTCCATTGCTTTAATGTGAAATTTCTTAACCTGTCCATCCAACACTAATCCATATGTTAATTAGTATATTCAAAAGTGCATCTGCAATAATCAAGAAACAACGTTCCAAAATAGTAGATTAATTAAAAACACAAGTAACCCTAAAATAAAGAAAAAGAGGAAAGTGAAAACACACGAGTTGAGAGATGGATTTGGGGAAGATGTGATGGTCAGAAGCGAAGGAATGTTCCGCTTCGGTTTGGAAGTGAAAATGCGCTAACACTTTGCGATCGGGTAAGGGTTTAAGTAGCAACTCCTCGGAAAATTCTTCTTCTGCTGTTGCCGATGATAGAATTGGAAGTAAGAGAAGAAGAGAGAGGGCGATCGTGGTTGTTGAAGCAAGAGTCATCGTTGCTTGCTAACTTTTGGGAGTTGCTGTGATTCATGAGTTCACACTACAACAGAGGTTCCGCCATTGACGCGCTGTGTGAGCTTACATTTTGGTGAACATTCAAGAGTTTCTCCTGTCTCATGGTTAGAATACTTTGGGCTTTGGGTAGAAATCTTTTTGCCACCTCTAATTCTACTTTGACACCACCACACTTGCTATGTTTTTAAACATATTATATTTCCTTCCACAAATTTTTTTAGACACCTCTCTAATTTTCCATGCATTTCACTTAAACTATCGGATTTTTTTTGCGTTGGCTGACAAGTGACTTTGAATTTTAAGGTATTTTTTGAATTCTTTTTCGTAATTTTACTGAATATTTTAAAACATTAGATAAAAACGAATCATTTTTTTTTTGGATTTTTTAAGAATTTCAGGTAAAAATGAATATGTTTAATTGGATTTTTTGAAAAATCTTATTCTCACAAGAGACGTATGGCTGATCAGATTCAATTTCGTGAATTCCGCATTGTCCAACGTAGAAGATCTCAATCTGCTTCTGGTTGGACGAGAGATGTTGAGGACAAGGTAGTTGATGTGCCCCATTTGACATAGACTAGGATTGCTGATACTCTTAAGATGACAGAGGTGCCCCATCCTCCTAAGACAAAGGCAACAACTACTGTAGAGGCCACTTCAGAGCCCCATCCGGCTACTGAGACGCCACCTGTTTATGATATGGAGGTTACTCCTCTTGTTGGGATAGATGTCCATGCCCTCTGCTTCGACAGACCCATATGTACACACAAATGAGGGTTTCTTGGTGGATCCAACAACACTTTTGTTCTCGCAGGATATGTGGATCATGTGGCATTTAGGTCATGGTAGAGAAAGGTATGTATATGATATGTCGATGATGTGGCTTTATTTATTATTAATATTTTGAAATTAATCGATGATTTTTACTTTGTTTGTTACATGATCGTATGCTACTTAAGGTTCCCACCCATGGGTTGGAGTTAAAGAAGTTCTTTGATGTTGTGGTGCCACCGGAGGTGAGGGCGATAGTTGAGCCTTCCTGGCTCCTTCCATTGGTCGACAGTTCCCTTACCATGCTTGACGCTTCACTTCTCACAACCTTTGTTAAGTGATGGAACAAGGAAACTTCTTCCTTCCATACTTGACGAAATACATGTGGTTGTTTAACAACCTTGATCATAATAATTGAGCATGAAGGTGTGCTGCCCTTGGGGAGATGACTGTTCTTGAGACCCGACAACTTGTCGGTTATATGAGTTTATTTCAAGTATAACCAAACTATTATTTCTATTTATGTTATTTCTTATTATGTTAGTTCTATTTATGACATTATTTCTAGATATTTGAGTTTCTGTTATTGTGTAGTATTGGATATACGAGCATTTCCCGTCCATTTGTGATAGGCGAGGCCACAGGTCCAGGCGATGCCAACTCCACAAGTCTCAAACGCTAAGGCAATAGATACCCTAGGTAATGGGATGGCCCAGGTTAATTATGGACTACAACAATTAGCATTTCGACCCCCTGAACCAAACCCAAATTGAGAGGATGATGAATACATAGGTCAGAATAATCCTATGTCAGAAACCAGGATGCTAACCAATTACTTAGAAACA